TTTTACCATCTAATTTGCTGCAGCAGCCAATCTTTTTTTTCAGTGTACATGACGTTTTTAATTCTAATTGGTGCATTGCAAAAATGCAAAATCTGCGTTATCTCAGACTTCAATTGTCCTTTCTAAGTACACACGCTGAAGACAATATTAACTCGCAATATCCTAATCTCCGCGGAAAATAACGTCTATTAAATAACGAGAGAAGTTCTACCAGATCAAGTTGACGCTGATGCGTGCAATAAATAATAGGGACGAAAAATCCTAGTAATTCTAGAATTGTAAATTCGGATCTTGAACGACGAAGGATTACCTCGATAAAGTTCTTAGGTGAGGGTGGTCGAGAGTTTCGAGTTCGCGCGATTTCGACGTCTCGCGAATTCTCGAACGTTCAGTGGAGATTTGGCAGTGGGTGCGCGTCGCACAAAGAGAGGGTGGTTCACGGAAAAAGAGAGAAAATCGCGGCGGGGATGTTAGTTTGACCGGCGACCGGAATGCATCCGTGCAGCCGGGGGATGCTCTTGAGACTGAGCTTGAGAGGACGCGGCGACTCACCGTCGTGGACGACGTAGCCGACGGCCTCTGGCTAGATTTAATTTTAACGCTTCGCTTCGCGTACGCGCCTCCGCTGTTCGACGAATCCCCGAGTTTCATCGAGAAGAGAGATCTCCGGCCCTCGCCCCGTCTTTCCAATCAATTGATCTGCCACGCGATGCTCCTCTTAATTGATTTCACTTGACCTCAGGATATGCATCGCGACTTCGTTTAGCTCCAGGAGAACTGTTTGCAAACTGCGATTCATTTCCCTGAACCCATGTCGCATTATTTATCTCTCGCGCAAGTTTTTTAAAAAGAAAATCTACACAGAGAGAAAAATGTTTGGTATTTGTAACTATAATTATGATTATTACTGCTATAATAATAACAGTAACTATATATATAGTTCCAGCAACAAATGTTATAATTGGCAACCTAAAATGACTATAATTATAGTTGTAATTGTAGTTATAATCATAAAATAGTTGAAATTACCATAAAAATGGTTCAAGTGACTATAATTTTATAGTTTTATATTTTGGGACAACCATAAAAAACTATAAAATTATAGTCACTTGAACCATTTTTATGGTAATTTCAATTATTTTATGGTTATAACAACTATAATTATAGTCATTTTAGGTTGCCAATTATAACATTTGTTGCTGGAACTATATATATATAGTTACTGTTATTATTATTATAGCAGTAATAATCATAATTATAGTAATATATAATTATAGTTACAAATACCAAACATTTTTCTCTCTGTGTAGAAAAAAAGATAAAGAATCAGAAAAGCTCTTATTATAGTGAAGTTTATAGTTACAATGTTTAGGACAGCGATATGCACGTTCATATAAATAAAACTGTCGTTAATTTTGTTAATATGTTCAAGAGAGATATTTTACTTTTTTTCTTCATTATTTTCATACAATTCTTATTATTTGATTATGACCCTATAATTCAATATATCAAGATCACCTTAATATATTCTTGAATAATTGTCTCTCTTATTTTATACATATAATTCATAATTTCATTCTTATATACTCGCAATTATTCTTTTCAATGCTGTAATACGTTTAAAATATTATGAAGCGTTTTATGTTCTTCTTGTCTAAATAAAAATATTATAGATTCATGTTTGCGTCAAATATTTACGCCGCGACAAGTAGACTTCCGTCGCGTCTATTTCGGCGTCACGTGGTTTATTTCGAAGTAGGAAACTAAATAATAAGTTATAGCCATATATCTATACTTACTCACACACACGCGCGTACGCGTGCTAAACGATTTTTCAAAAATGATTTATTATTGAAATGTCTTTAAAATGTTATGAAAGACGTCTTAAAAATCACTAAAAATCGTGATTTTAAATTCCAAATTCTCGGAATCATAATTCCTAGAAATGTGAAAAATTCTTAGAATTTTTGTTAATTTAATATGTATATTTTATATTTTTATAATATTTTGTATCATTATGCATGTTCTATTACATTTTCGAAAATGACAAAAGATACACACATTTATTTAAAAAATAGAAAAATTCAAAGTTAAAGAATTAATTATTTATAAAGTACTTAGAGAGAAGAGTTGGAACATCCTCTATATCGAGCAACGCTATTATTTACACGCAGACTTAAATAAACAAACAGATGTTTTCGGAATGATATACGATATTGGCATTGCAAAATAACGGATCTATATGATATATTATATACAAAGTACCATTTTTATTGTCGTGTCGCATACCTCTTAATAAAATTTTGACTTAATTGCTATCTAATTGTTGAAAGAAATATCTCTTCGTGTAGTTTCCTGCATGACATATAAAATAAATACTTTTGCAACAGTAATAATGCCTTATTAATCATGTCATGTTAGCTTCTAGCAAAGCTGCTTTTAGCCAGTAGAAATGTAGTGTTCCTGTAATAATTAGGCCTGTTCTTTTTGGCTAAACTTTTGCACTAATTCATCTTTTTTCTTCTTCTTTTTTCCTAAAGAGAAAAGGAAGAAAGATGAACTGGTGCAAAAGTTCAGCCAAAAAGAACAGGCCTTTATAGGAACACTAACAGAAGTAAAGATTAAAGTGCCATCTAGAAACAATTTTGCCAACTTTTCGGTGGATTCAAGTATCAATCGATCGACAAACGTGGTGAATAAAGTAGCGCGCTTGAATGCAAACATGTATTTAATTTAACCTCTCTTTCTCTCGTGATAAACATAATATGTGTATTGGCTAATAAACGCAAGTAAGTTAGAATATAAGATCGTAAGAAAATAGTTACATGCCTCGTGCTATATAACGCCTATACAATGGTATTTTGGACACAAGTAGTTTTAGCTTCAGTGAAAAAGGTGAGTAGACCTTACTGAATTAAGTATTACAAGATTATAGTTACATGCATTAACTAATGAAGGAAACTTTTCGTTTTATCGCAGCAACCGAGAAAATATCTACGTTCCAGATTCATTGACACGCTGCGTCTTCATATTAGGGCAGGTACAGGAGGTAGTGGATTGTCTCGTTATGGAGGGATAGGAGGTGCAGGGGGTAATATATACTTAGTTGCAAAAGACGGGCTAACGTTGGAGAAAGTTGTCAAGACTTTGAAGACCAAACGGATCGTCGCAGATTGTGGAAGTGACAGTTCAGCAAGGGGAATTATAGGTGCACCTGGTCAAGATAAAATTATTTCAGTTCCACGTGGTATTTTAGTATATAACCAGAATGAAGTATTGTTAGGTAGGTACAATTTTTAAAACTTTTTGTTCAAAGTTATACAATTATTGTTACTTTCCTTTTCTCTTTTGTTAAAAATCTTATAGGAGATTTAAACGAAGAGAATTCAAAAATATTAGTAGCCAGAGGTGGTTCAGGAGGTACGAAAGACACAGGTTACTGTGGATTAAAAGGAGAATCTCAGGTGATAAAGTTAGATTTGAAGCTGATTGCCGATATTGGATTAGTTGGCTTTCCCAATGCTGGTAAAAGCACATTCTTGGCAGCAGTTTCAAATGCCAAGCCTAAAATCGCTGATTATCCTTGTAAGACTTCTTATATATTTTATTAATTGCTTGTTAATTTTGATCCTACAGTCGTGCTTTTTCTGTTGTAGTCACTACTATAAGACCCAGATTAGGAATCATCAACTATGACGATTTGAGAGAAATTACCGTTGCAGATTTACCAGGTCTAATCGAGGGAGCACACATGAATATTGGGATGGGTCACAAGTTTTTAAAACATATTGAAAGAACAAAGCTACTTATGTTCATCGTAGATATACAAGGATTTCAATTGTCACCCATGCATGGACATAGATCCTGCTTGGAAACTGTAGTCTTATTAAACAAAGAGATTGAACTCTATAAACCGGACTTATTAAAAATGCCAGCAGTGCTTATAATTAATAAAATGGACACTGACAATGCTGATAATATTCTCAAAGAAATTAAACCAGTATTGCGCAACTTATCAAAATATATGTCTACATATCCGGAAGAAATGCAACCTGAACAGGTGATACATTTTGATGATATTTTACCGATATCCTTAATCTCGAAAAATAAAAATATGATACAAATAGTCAAAGACACGCTACGAAATATATTAGATAAATATGAAGAGAAAAAACATGCTCTTGAACATGGTAACTTGGACTCCCGGCTAATGAAGAGGATAAACCGACAATTTGAAGAACACACACCGACCGTTGTATAAATTTATAACAAAGGAAAATAAATATTTTTAAAATAATGTTAATGCTATTGTTAATGTAGTAATGACTCGAAAAATATGCAGATTTAAATTAAATTTTTATCATAGGAGTTTGAAGTGGCAGACTGTATAGAAATTTGTGATTGTTCAAAGTCTATTTAATTTCACTAATTTACATTTGATGTTTGCATCTTGTACTCTTTCAATCCAACTTTCTCCAAATGATGCATTTTTCTCGGTAGATACCATTTCGATTTCTTCTCTATCTCGGAGAACATTTATGTTTGCCATCCACTTTTCCGCACCATTCCACGCTATCATTACACCATTATCGTTGCATAAACGAGGTGGAGTTCTAACGAATTTAAAGTTCCTTTCCGAACAAACAATTTCTAAAGTCTTTGCTAAGAAATTGTTGCAAGCCACTCCGCCGGATATTACCTACATTAAAACAAATATGTAAAACAAAAGTCGAAAATTAATGTACATAATCTTAGGCATACCAAAGTTCGCTTCTCTTGTGGTATCAAATTCATATTGTTAATAAATTCCATTGCCCTTTGCGTTCTGAGACATATGTGTTTTGCAAAAGTCAGTTGTATAGCAGCGCAAAAATTATACACGTCGGGAATTGCCGCAATATTAGCAATATCAAAATTTCCTTCTTTATCGAGATGTCTAAAACTTCTGTTCCATATACCCCCAAAACTAAATTGACAATCTCTTTTGTTTGTTAAGACAGGATTGAAAACAAATTTAGTTGGATCTGATGCTTTGCTTGCTGCACTTTCTATTGCTTGACCACCGCTCATATGCGAGAATTCTGGTATAGTTGCAAGTTTAAGCTTACGAGCGATCTGCAAAGTTTAAAACAAATCTATTTATCGTTATACATTTCATAGATATTTTTATCTTTATGTTTTCACAAGTTCTTTCATAAAATTTTACTGATAATTTTTAAAGACAAAATTTTGAAGATTCAATTTATAATCAAACATACAATAAACAAAAACTTGAAGATATATACCTTGTCGAGAATTTCACCAGGTGCATTATCTAACGTAGTACCCAGTGTGTAAAATTTATCAACATTTTCAACAATCGCTAATAAACTGTGGCCACCTGATACGAGCAAAACAAGATAAGGAAAGTCTACCTACAAGACATGTATATGAATTTTCTTTATGTTTGACGTCATATGTGTTTTATACATACAATTAGCTCTAACATACTTTCTGCACCATTCGTACAGTTAATGCATGAGCTTCCATGTGATGTATCGGTATATATGGTTTGTTACCAATCCTAGAGAGATATTTGCCAAATTCATTTCCAGCATTAAGCGACAAGGGAAGACCTGGTTTTGTTGTAGTTGCAATAGCATCTACATTTCTTAGTCTTAGATTCGCCGATCTTAGTGCATCCTCACAAACTGTAGTAATATGTTGTCTATGCATTTTACCGGCAATTGTAGGTATTATGCCACCATGTCTATAAATAAGAATACAATCATGACTTGCTAGAATAATTTTTAACAGTTTTTAAATTTGTTTTTAATTAACAATTTAATGTTTTCTAATAACATATACAAGTAAATTTGTGTACATTAGATAATAAAATAAATACTAAGAATTTTACTTAAAAATTTTTCAAGTGATTTTTAAGTGTGTATTGAATTCACGTCGACTTAATAAATAATTTGTAATTACTTTAAATGAGTAAGATGTTGCGAATTTATCGCCTCGCCTAATATCTTTCCAGTGGTATCTACGATTCCGCATCCTGTATCGTCGCAGCTAGTTTCGATTCCTAAAATAATAGCTGGTCTGTCGTCTACAAATTTTCGTATCACGTTTAATCTCGAAAATCTAGGCTGGCAAAGTTCTAATGACGTTTTACGCGATAAAAAATACGCGCATTTGGCCATTTCGTCTCAAAATAAATATCATGCGAGTTAACCAATGCTAAGCAAACAGGTTAGGGATATACTAAAGTAGCTAATATCTTATCGAATTAAAATCGTTAGAGTACACTTTCACCATAATTTTAGCCTGTACAAATTTATCAATCATACAATACAAATATATGCTACTTGTCGAATTATCTGACGCCAGACGCGTTCCTTCGCATTTCTCAAACGCGCCATGCATGCATTTTCTCGAACGTGCTCTGATTGGCTGACCGGATAGGGAATTTTCAGTCCCAGAGGCACTTCTCTAAATAGGTCTGTTCGCGTTGCATAAAATCTCCAAATATTTTTGCACTTAAAATGAGATAGATATATATTTGGCCTTGAAAAGAGAGAAAACGAAGATGCCGAGTGCCAAAAGTGCAAGCAACGCGAACAGATTTATTATCAGGCCCGAAGACCAATCGGCACGTTTCGAAAAAAAAACTGTGCAACAAATAAAATTAAGCCAAGCACGTAGTTACGACGTATCTTCATGAAAGTCTAGTAATAAAATTCCATAACGCCGGACAAGAAGGAACAGTGACGTAGGATTGGCCGAATTTGAAAACATCGGTGAGGTAATCGATCGATCGAACCAGCTGCCCATCCCTTTACTCCCATTTATCGATAAATTCTCCGAACGCGATTGTATCGCGGCCATCATAGGCTCAGTTCAGTGAGTTCGGTCAGTCGTGTTCAGTTTCCAGTTGGTTCCAGTTGAGTCGGTGATGTTAACGTTGGCGTTCATTACGCATCCTAGGAAATATCAACGCATAAAGGGCGTGTAAAATGCACGAGCGCCGGAGTTCTCGGACTCTTGGCTCGGTCACGGCCTCGGCCTCGATGACGCTGCCGGGAGCGATGAGCGCGTGGAACGCGAGTAGCAGCGTGCGGATACAATAGAGTGGCTTAGTCCAAAGCAACGAAAGCATCGTGCTGCCAGGGTAAGACGAAGATGTCCGCGTCCTATGGAGCCGTGCCGTCGTCCTGAGGAACCGAACCACGGACGGCCGATCTCGGCCAATTTCTTGTGATTGCTCAGCAGACGATGCTCTTGGAAAATCTTATGAACTTTTCTTAAACAAGCGCGTGTGACTTTCGAGCATTCGGTGAAATGTTTTCGTCGCCGGCGTCAGCGGTGGGCGAGCCATCGGGCTACGATTTTCAGAAAGAGGAGAACGCTGCCAAGTGGAAGGGAGTGTTTGTCAACTCCCTGCGCAAGGTACATCTTTCGTTGCTCCGATTCTGCTCCGCTCCTTGTCGCTTCATCTATCCCTCTCTCCCTCCCCTCCTTCTCCCTCTCTCCCCCTCCACCCCTCCCTCTCCCTCTCCCACCCTCCCCTTATCCTCTTGTATACTTTGCTTTCTTGTCTTCTACTATCCCGTTTTATCCCCTCCACCTCATTCCCGTCTTTTCCCCTCATGTTTTGTTCGCTCCAACGCTCGATCATTTTTCGTCCCAATGATTTTACGTCGAGGCTGGATCGATCAACGACACTGACCGACGTCATCACCGTGCGCGGTCACCATATGATTTCTCAAATGCTTTCCTGTCAACATCAGCGATTGGTGGATTTTTTTATATCGTACTCTCGCGCCTATCTCTGTTCCCCGACTATCGACTCCTTTACCGACTTATCTGTTCCAAAGTGTTATATTTTATGATATAATCTTATGTATCCTTGGTTAGTGATATATAATAATATGTGATAGTAATAATAATATATTATAGATACATTATATAGCCAAGAAAATGTTATTATTGTATAGGTACTAGAACAAGTACATCCTAGTCTTGAAGCTCGGCAAGATGCCTTAGACTACGTGGAAAGTTTAATTTTAAGAATGCTAGGCATGCTTTGTGGACATCCACCTCCTCAAACTCCTCAAGATGTAGAGGAAAGAGTAAGACGGACGTTTCCTACACCCATTGATAGATGGGCTCTTCGTGATGCGAGAGACGCTTTAGAGAAGGGAAAAAAGAAGTCGCCATTAGTACTACCAGTTGATAAGATTCATCAATTATTACAAAAGGTATATACTATATGTCGGTTTATTCGTACATTTGCATGCAAATTTTAACGTTCAGAGATCTTACATGTCAAACATATCAAAGCTGTATAATCATATAATACATATTTTTTTTTTTTAATAGGAAGTATTACAGCACAAAATTGATTCGCAAGTTAGCTTGTTTGTAGTGGGCGTTTTGGAATACATTTCTGCTGATATTTTGAAGGTTGGCAATATTCCAAATATTAAACGGTTTTAAGCACTCACTCGTCTCTATTTGAAAAGAATTGTCTGTGGGAATTTAAGATTTTTTACTTTCCTTTCAGCTAGCTGGAAATTATGTGAAGAATATTCGCCATGTAGAAATTTCGTGTGAAGACATAAGAGTCGCGATGTACGCGGATATGGTAAGACATTGTTTGTACAAATGTACAATTTGTGTTGTATCTCTGTACTGCACCTTAATTAACATACACTGTATCATGTCTTACCATTTACATTTTAATACTGATTTGAGTTCATTCACATACATATATATATATATATATTTAAATTGTGAATATTATACATATACAGGGTATCTCACAACTACCACATTTCCTCTTAAGGACATTTTCTTGAGGTTTTGGAACGAAAATCCTAATACGAAAATATCGAGGCTACAATAGTTTTCGAATTATACACTATCTTTAATCAATTATAATTCAAAAACTATTGTAGTCTCGACATTTTTGTATTAGGATTTTCGTCTCAAAATTACCTCAAGAATACGTTCTTAAGAAGAAATGCGATAATTGTGAGACATCTTGTATATATGTATAGATATGTTGTGTAAGTATACCATGATAATAATATCATGTGATACTTTATATTTTGAATCAATCTTATGAAATAGACACACACAATGGTATATAATAGTTTATGAGGTTTGTATAGAGAAAATGTAAAATTAAAACGAGTGGTATTACATTGCATTAAATATGTAGTAAATGCAGTAGAAGAATATGATACCTTGCTAGTAATAGTTTATAATTTGTAGTTTCTAGATTCAAATTATTTTTTTTGTCAT